AAATTCACATGGAAGATCGCTGAGATCCAGTCAAGCATGCGAATAGCATCATTCGCGCGAGTAGTTCAGAGCAGCTCACACAGGGTAATATATAAATGAATTTGCACTCGTTTGCACAAAAAAATATAGGCGTTTGTGCAGTGCATGTGCGGCTGTGTGCTGCAGACAGCTTGACCGCAGCAGCAACAGTCGACTCGAAGCTCGGGTTACTTCTAGTGCACCGCTCTCATAGCCGCCTGCTCTCTCTCTCTCTCTCTCATGGTTTCTTCTTCTTTACCGCGTGCCCGCGCGCGAGCTGGCGAGAAAATCGACTGACCTCCTTGAAACGACGACGACGACGTCGCATTGCACCTGGTGCAGCGGCATATATTAAAAAAATAAAAAGGAGTCGCATTTTTTCGTTTTCTGTCTCTCTCTCTCTCTCTGTACACGTATATCGATCGATATGCGGCGGCGGTCACTTGCACATGCACCACCGACAGCTGATTCGGATTCTGGTCGCAAGTCAACTGGATATGCACTTCTGATCCTTATCTAGCATGACGGCTTGGCTGCGCACGAAGCCAGTGCAGCAGCGCTCGCATGCGTATTATAATACGCTTACGTGCCGTACTTTTGATTATTTTCTCACATTCGATATATACTCTGCATGGACGTATTTATAAATGCATATATCTAATCTATATGTGTTGTTATACAGCGACAATGAGCAAAGGCTCGAGCACGTAATTCAAGGAATCGTGATTGATATACTCGCAGCGGCATCCGCACACTCATGCTTGCAGCTGCCGTTGATATAAGGTGTCAAAAACGCAATGCGCTGCTTCGCATGCTGCCGTTATTCAATCGCGCCGTGTCAGCAACAACGAGAGATAGATAGAGAGTGAAAGAAGAAAAAGATCGAGGCGAGCGTAATTTTTTTGCCATTGTTATCGATGTATATTATCGTGCCACACGATGCACGTATATAGTTGCGGTGGCGTATATACCCGCACCTTATGTATCGCCGACGAGAGGCGCTATACGCGCTGTACATAAAATAAACCTGCTCTTTGATGATGGCCTAAGAAGACGACAACGACGACGACGACTATGGTCAGCAGCACACCAGCAACACACAAGGCAAAAAAGGTAAAATGTCACTTTACGACCCCATCGCCATAAATGTCACATGCACGCATATACGTTTATATTTTATAAGTAGTAGAGAGAGACAGCGACGAAGCTCTAAGCGTGTCTTTATTAACGACGTGACTTTGCAGCAGCCCATGAGGAGGAACAGCAGCAGCAGGCCGAATAAAAGGCGTACATAATGAGTGAAATCACGGAGTAAGCGAGCAGCAGCATGAGCAGCAGCATGAGCAGAGAGAGCGAAAGATACCGTATTTAAAAGGCCTTTTTTTTCGCTCGCGCGAGCCGTTCATCGCCGTGCTCTCGCGCGCGAACCATCTGCTACCGCTGCGATTGCTGCTGCTGCACTTCGAGCCATCATCGTCGTGGTGGAAATTATTCAATTTTCAAAAGTGTTTGCACATGCGATGATTTCTAGGTCGCGCGCATATACAAGCGTACATAAAGAGGGATTTTAATGAAGAACAAAACGGCCGGTATGTACTCGCGCGCAAATTGACCCCGGCTATATAAGACTTTGCTTTTTTTGCGTAAGAAATCGGAGATAGGATCGCGCGCGATAATGAAAAACGCGGCAACGTCCGAGATCGCTCGCGTCGAATCGGAACAAAAACATGTAACGTACGTTTGGTGTAGAGTTGTTAGTGTAAGCCGTTCGGTAGTGGGAGTATGGCGTGCTTATAGGTGTGACTCAAGTGTACACAAGTCGCGGACGGTCCATCGTCGACGACAGATAAGATAATGAGTATATAGTGCGTCGAAGTATATATAAAAAGCTCGATCATCGATATTAGACGCGCGAGGTCAATGTTTAAAATCATTGAATCATTTTACTCGGTATGAAATCTCGAAAAAATTTCACCTTTCGATGAATTCATACGAGATATAGCAGCTAGTTAAAACTATTTCCAATTTAGACATTCGTAAATATAATCGATCGTTCTATGCTCGCGATAAAAGTTCGTATTACACTCGTACGAATCCATCTCTTTATCAAATTCTCGGGATCTCTCATCTATATCCATTATATTCGCGCGCGCGGGAAGTTTTAAAAATGTGCCTCGTATAATATACGAGCGAAAAATGCCGCTGCTAATGAAAATGTTACAAGCCTGTATAGTACGGCTGGGGAAAACAAACGTCGGTTTACGCGAGGTGGAAACTATAAGGCGCTGTCAGGAATTTAAATGTCGAAACCTATACCTAGAGAGTAGTAGAGAGAGAGAGAACGAGAGAATTGACATGGTATATAAGGAATAACGGCTCAATAACGCTTATCTCTCTCTCTCTCGTGTGTGTGTTCGGGCAGCAGCAGCAGCAGTAAAAACGAAGAGTGTTTCATGTGTGTGCTTGCATTGAATATAACGTTGTGCTGCACGGAGAGCCGATGAAAAGCAAAAAAAAACAACAACAACCAAGCACATAAGGCTCGCGCGCGCGAGCGATACGTGTTAGTGTGTTGTGTATGCATGTGTGTATGTGTGTTGCTGCACGCGCTGAACGGGGCTCAACACGCAAAACGAGCTGCGAGCCAAAGAGCGAGGTATATATAAGAGAAGAAGAAGGTAGGCGTGAGCGTATTATCTCGTCGCATAAACCCGACGTTTTATCCGCATCACGACTCGCGACTTTTATGTTTATATGCGTATATTACTATTATAGCAGCTGCCACTATATACACTACGACTACTACTATAGCCCGTGTGCAGCAGCAGCAACAGCGCGACGAAGACATCGTCGACGACTTTGAGCTCTAAATTAAGTGCCGTATATACCGTGCGTCGTATTCGTTTCGCCGTATGCTAGTCGCGCTTTTCACTTTTTCCCGAATAATCGTTAAATTTTAATAAATATATATTTTCTCTCCCTCTCTCTTCTCCCCCCCTGCCCACCTTCTTCTCTCCCTTTTATCGCGTTAACTTGATCTCTCTCTCACCGAAGAGTAGAAGTAGCAGCGTCAGGAGCCGCGATATGACTGCCTATTGATGACTGCTGCAGCTTGATCGGGAATCAATACTCTACTACTCTCCTTCATCGGCGACGGCGGCGGCTAAGCCGCGGGACCTCCTCGGGTGTTGTCCAACTTGAGACTGGCAATTAAGTCAAGTGACTTTGCGCTATTTCGCGCTGCAGCGTCTATACTTATATATACACGATATATAAATGGAGGCGAGCTCCCCCCCGAGTGTGTGCAAGCACACACATACACATACACATACGGAGCGGAGAAAGAGCCGCGGAGCGTTAATATTATATTGAATAGCCATCGACTGCAGCTGTAGCAGCAGCAAGCAACAGGTAGGTAGTCTCTTCCTCTCTCGGCGTATCGCTACCAAAGGCTCCTCTCTATCCTTTATGTATTATGCTGCTGCTTTCGTTCGCTCGCTCACTCCCGCATGATGCGCGACGGCGATCTCGCGAACTCATAATATAGAACCAATTTTCCAATATCGGATGGTTATTATCGTTTGTTGTTGTGTGTGCTGCCATACACACGCGTTTCCGTTGAGTCATCTCGCACTGTGCGCTTATAGCTGAAGCTAATTTTTTTTACCTCCCTTATAATACTCGGACTTTTTTGCGTATAAGGGCTATTGGCATCGCGAAAAAAGGACTTGATATCTGCGCTCGTTTCTTGTGCCTGTATATAGTTTGCGATTCATTGGTCGCGGGCCACACCGCGACGAAGTGTGTGACATTATCTTAGCGCGCGGGGTCAACGACTGATTATAAACGAATCCGCGACGACGACGACTAGATGATAACAAAAAAAAAGCGAAACGCGACTCTCCTCGGAAATATTCGCGCGATCGTTCGTCTAGTTAAAGTACTTACATAAAAATCGTGTATAACTTGCGTAAACCAGACTCGTGTACGATCCTGCGCGTATTAGTGGAGTAGCCGGACGCGAGCGGAAACGATTCGCGAACGTACGCGCGAAAAAGCTTATAGAGCTCTACACACAAGCATTCCGAGAACGAAGAGAGAACCTTTTGTTCGGTTTTGACCACATCGAGAGACGTACGGTATATATAAAATNAAAAAAAATGACAAAGACGATGACGACGCGCGCGAGAGCCCGGCGAATGACGTAAATGCACAGAGACACACTGCACCGCAACGACGATGGCATAAAAATTCGAGCCGCGGCGCGGCCTTATCAGCATTTTAGAAGTTCTCGCATAGGCGTACACACAAAACGCGCACTCCTAGCAAACATTCACACACACAGTTGCATAAATGGTCGACCTTACTCGCGCGTCGTAATATTCGCGCGCCGGATGTACGTGCATATTCTCTCTCTTCAACAAGTGTTCTCCGTGTGTGTGCATATAATCACGGGCGATAAAAGTATACAAGTGTCTTTTCGTACCACCGGCAGCGCAAAGCGGGAAGAGCGACTTTCGGGCCACTGTGTATGAATAAATAGATTACAGGCCTATGCCGCGTAATAAGAAAGCCTCCAGAACACGTGTTCATCGGCCTCGGCTTCGCCTCGGCCACTAATTCCACGTACTCTGGGATTTTTCTGTTTTTCGCGGCCTGGTACTATTGTCAATGTGTGCGTATAGGTGTGTAGGTGTGTAACGACAACGATTTTTCCACGAGTCGTGCTCCGCGGCGTGCATGCGGTTTCGTTTTTATCGTATATATTTCGAACGACGATGATTCACGACGCACGACGACGAAATCTCGCTTGTACTGGCGCGTGTGTGCATGTGCATCGTTCATATCATTATACACGCTACAATTCGCAGATCGGATAAATCGATGATTTAGATCGTCGGTTATAGCGGAAAAAAACGTCTCTCGCTGTAGTTTGACAGGTGTCTGTATCACAATGTTGTGTCGTTTATGCTCGCTCTTACCAGTGTAGCACCATGCAGGCCAAACAACGGGGCTCTCGGTGTCGAGCTCCCTCATGCTGCTGTTGCTGTACTCGTCGTCGTCGTTGCTGTTGTTGCGCTCAGCTGCTGAAGCGGCGGTGGCAGCAGCCGACAACACTGCAGCGGCTGTTGATGATCCTTCCTGCACCTGCAGCAGTAGCGCAGCAGCAGCAGCAGCAGCGGCAGCAGCCGACGACGATCGTGATCGACTCAGACATGGCCACTTGCCACTACCGCTGCTCGTGCTTCGCGGCGTAGACGACGACGTGGGCTTCTTGCGAATTTTTCCGTTGTTGTCTTCGTCGACGTCGTTATTGTTATTGATGCGACGGAGGTGGCGATTAACGCCCGAGGACGACTGCGGCGATTGCCTCGAGCTCGTGGTGCAGCCAGCAGCAGCGGAATTCAAGGCTCGAAGCACGTCCAGTTTGGCTTCGTTTTTTATTTTTGTTTCTATATACTCTAACGTCACACAGAGAGGCACAGTCGAGTATTACACACAAATTAACATGAACAACGATAACAACAACAACAACAACAACAACAACAATCAAGTTTAGTCTCGAAAAGGAGAACCGATTTTTATTTAGGCACTACTATTTATTTATACGAGGACAAGTTACAATCACTGCATCGGATTCGAATCACACTTGGCACCAACAGAATTTTCATAAATGCACTTGGGTACAAAAAAAACAACACTCGTACGTCAATCGAAATTGTCAATCGCGAACGGGGGACACACGACGCAAGTCACGAAAAGAGTAAAATAATATAATAAAACGCCCACGCGCGATACAGCTCCGGTATTACATCGAGTGTATTTTTTATTTTTGTATATATTTTTTTACGTATAACATACACCAAGAACGCACACGTATATATTATGTTTCGTATCGTGCGTATAGACGTATACACACACTCACGGGTGTTTTAAAGTGCACCTGCCGCGCGCAAAGTCCGCGGAGTAATGAGAAGCGCCGCAGCCGAGCCAGCAGCCGAGCCAGAGACTTGGCACATGTACACACGCGCACACACAGACGTCGGAGCGCAGCGGCCGCCGAGTCGCAGGTATACACACACACACAAGACAGAGAAAGAGAACAAGCACCACAAGGCGGACGATCTATAGTCTGTGTGTATCGCACGAACGCACACACACATTCGCTCTCTCGTGCCGTCTCTCTCTTTCTTATATTTCGCGGCGGGGCAGCAGCTCGAGAAGTCGGAGTATAAGTCGGGACACGGGCTGTGCTGCCTCGGCACTACTCGTCAACCTGTGCGCGCGCGCCTCGCTGCTACTACTACTACCACAGCCACCTCTACATACAATACCACCTTCGCGCCGTACATGTTGTGCACCGTGCAGGATTGCGCTTCCAAGAGCTGCTCTCTGCGCGAGAGAGAAGTGCAGAAGAGGTGGAGAGAGGCCTCCGCTATATATGTGTGTGTGTGCAAAAGCGAGAGAGAGAGACAAAGTTCGACTCTTGGTCACATGGCGCGAGGCGCGTGTATATAGTCTTCGTTGCATTCGTAGGTGAAACTCCGATATATATGTAGAGTTATATATTATAAACGGCAGCTCTCGTCGATTCATCATCGTCCGCGACGATGTGTATGATTTTTTTCACGGCTTTGACCGTTGGCTGAATTTTCCTTTATACACAAAGTTCACAGCTATCTCGATGAAATTCTATGAGTGGGCCTCGTTAGGCTCCATAATTGATATTCGCCTTACTTTTGAATGAAACGTTGCGTCGGTTCAAGGAAACATCTCCGAACGATTAACACTTTACAATCTTTTCTTTACGATCTAATTTTTCTGTCTCTCATTCAGAAGAGATTGATCGACGAGAATTTTTCCTTTTTTTAATTTGAACTCGCAGCTCGTTATAGGTCGCTTATAATGCGCATTCCACGCAAGGTCAGATCTGAAAAATAATTTATGCTTCTGTACACAAACGCATACGCGCTTTTGGAATGCCACGCGAAACGATTCATAAATGTATATATCGTGATATTATCGCGACAGCGAGATTGACAATCGTATTAAAACACACGAGTGCATTAACTCGCCTGCATGTATACGCGCATGTATCCATCCCGAATGCAATCTTCTATCGGTCGAAGAAAAATAAATCGTATGGAGCGGAAAAATATATATATTGAATAAAAAAAAACAAGAAAAAAAATCATAGAGCTTATAAAAGTAACGGCTGCAATTTAGCTACCTGCAGCTATAAAGTATATCGGGTTTCGCTGCGTGCGTATGCGCAGCAGTCGTACACATATACATACATATGAAACTCGCGCATATATACCGACACAGCTAGTAGCAGCTTCGCCACCGCCCGTGGAGACAATTTAAATACCACAGAAGCTGTACCATCTAACACCTGTCACGATTCTCGATTGGGATTTCCAGTTTAGAGAGATATGGGATGTATCTCGTAAATAAATGAAGAAAATAAGCAGCGGAGCGTAGAATTTGAAAAAAATCTTTGAGATCCAGTCGAGTACTCAATTTTTTTCTCCAGTTTCATAATTGTTTCATCGATTAATTCGTTTTCGTTCATTTTATTTGACTCTGTACCAGCCACAATGTAATGTAATAATATTTTGAAGCAGTGAACTTTTAAACTATAGAATTTTCAGTCGTATTCCTTTAAAAAATCATTGTGGTATCAAGAATTTAGAGAAATTAATGACCAACAAAATATTAGCTGCAGAAGTCGTCTACATAAGAGGAACAATATTTGCGAACGTATACCTCGAAGCACCTTGCATCGAAATGCAAGATTGAATTTTTTTTTTAGTGGGGGTAAACAAATAAGATGGTGTTTCCAAAATCGAGCAAGATGACAATGAATGTACTTGGCATCGTTGCTAATTCAATGAGTAGCGAACCAAGGCGTTAAAATTCAGCGCTCTTTACGTGTCACAAAATGCATTTTACAAACTGTCGACCAAGTAAGACTTTTAAATAAAAGCCATCAAGAGATTTACCAAGTACTTTGAAACAATCAAAGATCAGTTTTTTGCTTTATATAGAAATGAAAGATTCTCCGATTATAGATTTCAAACTGACATCTAGTGGTGAAACTTAAAACTACATAAAGCGACAATCTCCCATTGAAGACTCGTCCCATTGTAAGTCCACCGTTGTCTTTTTTCATATGCCGATTTGATAAAGCTTTTCTTACATATTTTGGGCTGCTTAAGGGCTAACAGGAGGCTTAATTATTTATCATTTTTCAATTACAGTATTAGGCTGTAAAAGTAAAAAACATGTTTTTTTTCAATAACACAAATGATAACTTTTTTCAATAGCCTATTTGAAAGTATTTTGTCAAGTTAGATACTTAGAAACAATTGAGTACAATAATAATGCTCAACGCAAGCTATACGCATATCTAAGCTACCTGTCGTAGAAATCCAAGATCAAGCATTCAGCTAAAGGAGCCTATGTAGTTTCATTTTGTTCGATAGCCAATTGGCCATGGTCGCAACCAAAAGCTAGCCATAAGATGAATTGTAGCTACTCCTGTGTACAATTTCCTAGAATTTAGTATTCATTTTTTATCATTTTCCATAAATTAATTTCACTTTGCTATATGTACAAGTAGCTACAGTTCATCTTATGGTTAGCTTTTGGTTGCGACCATGGCCAATTGGCGATCGAACAAAATGAACCTACATAGACTCCTTTAGCTGAATGCTTGATCTTGGATTTCTACGACAGGTAGCTTAGATATGCGTATAGTTTGCGTTTAGCACCAATACCCTCATTATTATTGTACTCAATTATTTCTAAGTATCTAACTTGACAAAATACTTTCAAATAGGCTATTGAAAAGGGTTATCATTTGTGTTATTGAAAAAAAACATTTTTTTCACTTTTATAGCCTAGTACTGTAATTGAAAAATGATAAATAATTAAGCCCCCTCTTAGCCCTTAACACGAATTTTTCCGTTAAATGTTGCTACTGCAATAATAAACTTGAATTGTAACGTGCTGAGAAGGACTCTATTTTGTGAGCTAAGTTTTCACGGGGTCTTGACTTATTTTTGGGTATTTTCGTCAGGTTTTGCCTGCCTTTATGAAAAACTGCGCCGAGATCGGCTAAGGCCGATGCTTACAATATTCTATGCCTATAATAATGCGGGTTCACTTTCCATATCACAAAACAGCTAGGCTGTTTATTGTAATACTGACATTGATTACATTAGTAAATTATAATTATTTAAATTGAATCTGTATGAAAGTATATTGATAGATTTCTATTGAAATAAGTGATAGAGTATGAGAGCTATGTTTGAGCTTTTCTATTATTGAACATATTGAAAGTCACTTACATCGTTGTATATTGGTACCTCGGCTAGACAACATGACAGACAAGGAGAGAACACTGAAAATTTTACTAGAAGAGGAGAATATCACCGTTGTGGTGCTGGAACACGAGTAGAGCGAGAAATCTGAGTCTAGAGGAGACGTCAGTTTGCGCGAGCTTCGGCGCTTATTTTTATTACTTTTCGCGAACTTAGATTGGGCCGATTTTTTGTACAACGGTTCAAAGTTAATCTGTCTCTCTCTCTCTCTGTCTCTTTGTTCCTTTGGTCTATGCTCGAATAATCTCAAACACAGTACTTACGTTTCATAACGTGTATGAATAAAATTGTATTGATTTCTATTTATTAAATAAAGGGTGATTCAAAAGAGGAAGAAGACTTTGGAAATAGTTCTATATCTATATCGTTGCATACGGGATTATTTTGTTGTATTATAAGCTCGCGTTTCATAATTTCCACGCGTAAATGTCTTTCGATCGTTCAGTGGATCGTTTACTGTCTTGCTGCGCCATACAACATACAAAGTCCTGCGAGCTGAGGTTAATGCGCAATTTCATTTTCTTCTCATTGGAATATTCATCAAGTAAGTATTGAGAATCATCTCCTACTTCTTTTTCTTAAACTTAACCAACAGATTATTGTTAAACTAAATCTAATTAATATTATATTCATTTCCTAATGTATAGAATTTGGCGATTTAGGTTTGCAAGTTTTTATAGTAGGTGAGAATGATAATAATATATATTTCAATACGCGTTCTACGGTACATTAAAAAATATCTGAGAATTAGCCAGATGAATCTGAGAGTTCCTCGGAAAACATAAGTAAGCGTCTATTTTTAAGTGGCGGTCGTAAAAGCTCGTGAAATTTCTCACGGGTCCATAGCCCGGTACATTCGATAAGCGTACTCAAATCGAGCGGCTGACTGCGCATATTGGCAGATAGTGTAAGTTTAGTTTAAATAGTGTAAGCTTATTTTAGTAAAAATTTGTGCCGTAGGAGTCGGTTCTTAGCTTTATACAAGACTAACATATTTTCCGCTAGTGGATTTGAAACTGACATCTAGTGGTCAAGTTTAGAACTACATAAAGTGGTAATGTGCCATTGAAGACTCGTGTAAACTCACAAACACAGAAAGCTATGTGATAGGTTCGAAAATGAGATTTACATATATTTGGAAACTATATTGAATCCCCAAAAAATATCTGTATGTATGTTGGCTTGCTTGGCCTTTTGGCTAAGATAAAAGTGTGATGAATAGGTATGTACTCCGAAAGCAATGTACTCTCTGCAATCCCTCTTGTTATCATCTTCAATTGAAGATTTATAATTAATTCATAAATAACAAAGTTTATATTATTGGTCATACATAAAATCATTTTCACGAAAACACTAATTTTCTATCGAAATATCTTATTAAAAATTCATCTTTTTTAAAAATTCACTCTACCATTATCATACATCAATTTTTACATAAGTCTGCACGAACGGAGCAAATAAATCAAAAACAATTCAATCGATGTCATTGCATAATAGAATTTCACCTCTCAAATTGCAAAAAAAAATTATCCGCTTGACATTTCGTTCCCACTTGACAGCT